CACACATACATATACACACACACACAGAGACATGTGTGTACTAATACATACACACTCCATTTCCCCCCCCCCTTATAACGTAAAAAATTGTAACTAGGAATGAGAGAATTATTTTGTAATAATCAGTAGTAAATACAAAAATGGTTAACATTTGTTAAGAACTTTGAATTTGTAACCCGATTAAACGCGGAAAAAAATATTATTTAGTTCACAAATTTTCAGAGATGTTATCACAAAAAAGCATCAATTTTCTATATTCATACGATAAAATTCAACGTATTTTTTTTTATTTATAATTTGGTAAGTGGAACGTATTAAAAGGTTTACTTTATTCACGATATTTGCTGTATTTTCGTTTTAAAATCATTAGAAAATGAAGATTTTTTCTTGCATTTCCACGTACAAAAGAAGCTGTTTGGGACCACTAATTATTATTAGGGAGTCAAAATAGACTTTTCGAAAGCACCAGCTGTCATCACAACTGACTATTTACTTCGTAATCAGATTATACGGTAGCCGCCGTTGTGATTCCGAAAACTGGGTGACCGCCCAGGCACGCAGTGCGAATAAGAGAGTACTGGTGAACCGGGGCCCACGCTCCCAATTTGTCGAAAAATAAAAGTAAAACGCACTTACTAGAGCTAGTTTCTAACACTCAGAATTTAAGAACTTAAACCCTGCGACCACAGAACTAATGATTAATGCCTCATGGCCAGCACGATCCCTGGTGTTTTACGCAGAAATTTTGAACTGGGGGGGTCAGAAAATGGAGGGGCGTCGTAAATTTGTCGGTCTTAAAAGACTTCAGTACGATGTTACAAACATTTCAAATGAGTTGGGCTATATTTTGATGAGGATTACGTACATTATGGAACAGATGGAAAAATATATTGTGTTTATGGTGTGTGTATGTAGAGGAATATGTAAGTGAGAATCGTATTAAAACAGTTGTAAAAATGAAGAGAAAAAATAATATTTGTCAATTTTGTAGCGTTATTGGTAATTCTATGCATGCCATGACAATAAACGGTTATCTTTTCAGTTTTTCACGTCAAATACTAGTCTCATTGTTATTTTTAATTTCAAAACTATAAACAAAACAACAGTGGCTAGCATTCAGCCTACATGAAAGAGACTTATGACATCTGCTCATTTAATTGATTTTGTACAGTTTAAACTCATCTTTGCCCTCGCGTGTCTCAATGTGAAAAGTTTTTATAACTGAGAGTGTTGTGACCGAAACTTTTCTGGGGTTTTGGTAGTTGAAAAATTGAGGTGTGATGCCACACCCCTAGGGAGTAGCCGAGTAAAACATTGACTACATATACACGTGCATGCATACAGACCTACCTCCACTCCCAACCCATGTCGTGGTTTTTGGTATTCTCTTCATGAAAACCATGTCTAGGGCAAAAACAGAAAAACTAAAATCGAACTTAATTCATATCTTTATAAAGTCTAAAATTATATTTATCATATCTTTAAAAGTCCATAAATTATACATTATAATCAAGTGAGTTTTTTTATATCATTCAGCAGTGGTTATATCATACATAATTATAGCATCTACTGACTGTAAAGTAAGTTATTAAAGAAGTAAAGAAATTAAGAAAACATTATTTCATTCCTAAATGTATGAATTAAATTTAAACCTAAGTTTAGGGATTCTCTATTCAATAGTCCTAGTAACAAGATTTACAATTGTACCTTCCTGACCATATGTACATTACTATTATATTGAAGAGTCTCTACACACATTGTGACTTTTATTCTTTCTTCATGCATAAAATTTGAATAAAAAGTATAAGAGGAAAAATCAATTACGTCAAAAAAAAAGTTTTCGTCTTTCAATCAAATTCAAAAAAATTCAATCTAAAGAATCAAGGACAACAATAAAAGCGAAATGAACCTGTGAAAAGTGCTCTTATCAACAAGTCTGAATTTCCAACATATTTCTTTAAAAACACAGATAACTTTGAACTTCTGTAATGTCAAGTGCTATGAGGGGTCCGGTCAAACCTCAATTGTTGTGTAATTCAAAACACTTTCTTCGTCAACAAATTATGGATGCTTTTGACACATTACAAAAATATCAACACACCAAACATAATATTTTTCATTCCATTAAAAAGTAGAAAGTAATGTCCAGCTAGATCCCTCTTAATAATTTGGGTGAGAGTCGTCCATAAATTGCATAACACTAAGGGAGGGAGGAGGGCGATAGTTTGAGGCAGCATTCCTTAAAGGTGTGGGGGGGTTAGTTTAGTGTTCATACGTGGATATTTTCTTTAATAGTTAACATTTACTGAAATAATTATTTTATTCAGTTTTACACTAAAACATTTAAATATTAACAAATTAAATTTAATAAAACATATAAATTCAAAAGCTGTGATGCGTAAATTGTTAAAATAAATCTATTTTTTTTATCAATAGTTTATATTGACTGAATATTAGATTACAAAGAACTTGTTCAAAACTGATCTGTAGTAAATTCTAGAATCCAATTAAATTGGAGCAATAGACACTCTCCATCCACGATGGTGTGTGCACTGCCTGTGTGCCTTTTTTACTAAAAATTGTCCCCAATCATAGGGGTAGTCAGTATCACCAACTAATTCTGACTTATATTGTCATAAATTTTAATATACAACACAAGCAAAATTAATATAAATTGTTTTTAGTTATATAATTTACTTTTACTTATTGTAAATAGGGGGGCAAGCGTTATGTAATTATTTATGGAGGGTTCAAGCTTTTGTTGCACGTGCAGGTTATATGTAGTTCTTTTTATTTTGAATAAAAGAAAACAAGTAGAATCTATTCATAGGTATGCACACAAGGGGGAGGGGGCAGAAGTCCCCGAACAAAGAGAGAGAAAAAATGGAATGGTGCCAAATAGATTTGAAGCTCTCATTTGCAGTAAAGAACTCTAATATACATACAGACTGCTCGAGTTGTAACAGTTTTTACAATGTGAAATGTATATGTACCTACTGTATGTTATTACTAAAATGTGTTTGTTCTTGTAGTGCCACCAGTGAAACCAGTGAAATTCTACAGGCAGAAGATTCAACATCAGAAGGCATTGTAGATTCAACTCTCATGCCAGAAGAATCAACTCCAAAAGCTGAAGCAGCAGTCACCTTAGTAAATAATGGAATTCAAGAACCAGAAGATACAAATAATAGTATTACAGAAGATCATCCTGAAAGTATTTCTCTGGGATCAATTGATGAGGAACTAAATTCACAAAACCAAGAACAAAGATATAATCAAGAATCAAATTATTTCCATTCCAATGAGGCAACTGAATCAGATATTCTGCCAGATATTAAAGATACGAAACAAAGTAATTGTGAACATCAATCTGAGGAAAAAGAGAAGAGATATTCTGGTGATATTTCAAATTTTCTAGAAAGTGTCTACGATCTTCTTGAATGTCCAGTGTGTCTCAATCACATGGTTCCTCCTATTCTTTTATGTGAAAGTGGACACAATATTTGCTTTAAGTGCAGACCTTTCATGACAAAATGCCCATTATGCAGGCAATCTTTTCTCCGAACAAGAAATATAGCTCTTGAAGTTGTAGCTCAAAAACTAGGCTTAAAATGTATTCATGAAGATTGCCATAAAGGATGCAGGAGTATGAAAGAACAAGAACAACAGGTATCAATTGATCAAATGGTTTATACATGTCCTCTTACATTATATTCACATTGTTATTGGCAAGGAAATCACTCAGATATTAAGAGACACATGGAAGAAATACATGCAAGTAAAATACTTACTGAAACTACAAATCCTTTTTGGGAAATGAATCTTGTTGTTAGAGACTTTAAAGTAATATTTGCTCTTGATGAAATTTTTTTCTATAAAGAGAGATTGGATACTTCAAATTCCAAGTTCTACATTCAGGTTTTCTATGTCGGTCAGCGTGAAAATCATAGCAAATTTGTTTATAATTTAGAAATTAGCTCTGAAACAGGGCAGCAAAGAGTTGTAATATATAACACTACTCTTCCTATAAATGATTTGGAACATACCTACACTTACACTGCTAGTCACTGCACAGTATTAGATTACCAAACAATACGTGGCATGTCAAAACATGGTGATCTCAAGTGTACTCTTTCTCTGGGGAGGCATTTGAGAGAATGAAAGCAGCAGTATTAATTTAAGTTCATTCTAAAAATATATACACTTGTAATATCTGGTATTTGCAACTCTTTGAGATGAAATTAATTAGGTAGTATTTAAACTGTAACAAATGATATCCTTGCATGAACTATTTTACATTATATGTAGGAAAAACTATGTTATAGTGATTAATGGGACACACTGAATTATTATCAATGTATTGTTGTTGCATTTGTATTTGAACAATAACACTGTCCTAACAATTTTTGTGTTATTTCTTTCAACCTGTAAAATAAAAATGGTAATTTAATTTGAACAGAAAAACTAAGAAGAGAGATATAAGTGTATTTATATCTATGTCTTCCAAATTACCTTCCTTGCCAGTAGATAACTTATCAATCATGATGCGAACCCTTTCAATATCCTCTATAAGACTTGTTTCAGGAGCGAGGGCTTGTGCTTTTTCCAAATCTTTCAATGCATTTTCAGGTGCACCTAGGTGACATAAAGCAGTAGCTCGACGAACAAAACATCTTGCTCTCGATTTTGCATTTAGGGACACACATGGAGTCAAAAGATCCAAAGCCTGTACATAAACAGTCATTTGAATGTTGTTCAGTTACACATGAAACAATTTTAATACTTTTACAGAAAGTGTACATAAAACTAAAATCAAGTACGTTATTTCACTATATTAAATACTATTGAAAGAGTATACTACAAGTAAAGTTCTTAATATTGTCAAGAAACATTGAATATCAAGAGAAATATTTTACCCTAGAACTATCTTCATGTGCCTTGTAATAATTTCCAATAGCAAGATGAGCTGCTGCTCGATTAGAATAGATTGCAGGTAGTGTACTTCCAATTTTTATAGCATGGCTGTAAGCACTGATTGCACCCAAGTAATTTCCCATTTGAAAGAATGAACTGAAATAATCAAAGCAAAATATTTAAATATGGTACAAGGAACTCTGAAATTGGTAAAAAAAACTGTGACATTTTGCTATCAACAGTATCAGGAGTGTCTACTGTTTATGCAAAATCTATTAGGCAACAAAACTCCTTTGGAAAACATTTTCAAAAGTTTGAAGTACCTATTTTGGTGTAAAAAAGCCTTCTAAATAAATCATCCAATAACTGGAATTATTATATTGTTTTGTACATTTGCAATAAAATTCTATGAAATGGCACAGATTGCTGTACATTGTCAGCATCTTTGAACATGTGACAATCCAATGTTTGGTTTTTGAGATTTCTTTTTTTAAAGGCTACCTTTTTTTCTCCAAGACAAACTTGCAAAATATAAAAGTGAATAGTATCATGCTATTCCTGAAGCAAATAGTGTAATTTATCATCACAGACTGATGTGATAAGTTTTTTAAAATTGTAGCCCTCAATTGAATAATTTGTCATTGTTGACCTTACAATGTAAACTCACAGACATTCTTCACCCCTGTTCCTTCAATTCGAAGAATAATTAATAGTACGTAGACTGTGTAAAAGACTGCATAGTTCTTGAAGCAGGAAGACAACTCCCAGAGGGATTTTTATGAGACTTTAAAAGTTTTGGAGACTTAATTCCCCAATTTTCCTTGGATAGTGTTAATCAGTTAATTTAAAACATATGTACCTAATGAATGTGCTGACATTTATAACATTAACTTATCTTTGAATATCTGTACTGCAGGTGGCATTGACAGTGGTCAAGACATTGTTTTGTAGATACGAATTCAGAGACTCAATAAATGGCACACATTGTGAATGTCATCCTTAATTAACAGATAGTTTGACCTGATAGGTGCACAATGGTTTTCAAGACATTATAGTTTTCTTTTGTCTGCCACACTACAAAGATAAAACATCACTTGAGCTAAATTTGAACCCTTGATCCCTTGATTTCACCTTCCAAAGTGGAAGCTGCAACATTAATCTGCAAAGGTATCTATCAATTTTCATAATATTTATTGATTATGAAAAGGTTTATGATAAAGTTAATAGACAGAAACTCTGAGAAATACTAGAAGAGAAGGAAATTCCCAATCAGTTGCTCAATGCAAAGTCTCTACAATAAATTAAGTTTTAAAATACTGTTAAGAGAGGGGAAAAATTCAGCAGCAATAACAGATAACAGTGGCTTAAGACAAGGATGTGGATTATCACCCATCCTCTTCAACATATATATAAACCACTAAGTGAGAAACTGCAGAAGAAAAAGTTAGACAAGGAATACAGATAACAAAAGACAAGACGGTAGCTACAATTTTGTACACAGATGACCAAACTATCATAATGGATTCTGAAGATAATTTACAAAGAGCAGTTTTTGAATTGACAAAAATGGTTTAAGAATATTCCATGAACATTGCAGTTCAGAAAACAAAATTTATGGCAATACAAGGCAAGGAACAAAGGAGAGCCAAAATAGTCATAAATGGAAAATTAGTGGAACAAGAAAATAAATGTTCATATCTTGGAAATATGATAAGTGTATACAACCAAACTCAGGAAGACATAGAAAACAAACTTAGTAACTACATTAGAATATGTAGAACAATTAAGAGACACTTTGGCAGAGACATGGACCTAGAAACAAAACAAACTCCACAATATAGCTGCTAATCTAAGAATCATGAATGGCTCTGAAACATGAGTAATGAAAAAGAAAAACTACAGGCAGCATATATGAGATTTGTAAGACACCTCATGGGAATCACAAGAAGAGACAGACTGAGAAATGTAGACATGAGAAAGAAATTGAAAAGCAAATGTTTAATACAAGAGATAGAACAGTCTCAAAGGAGATTTCCAAAATTAATCTGGAAGTGCAAGCCAATAGGGATCAGAGATGGAGGCAGACCACTAAAGAGGTGGCAACAGAAGAAACACTTGGAGACTAAGAATCTACCAAGAATACTGCAATAAACTAATTGAAACAGGCTATAGAACCTCATTTCTGGCCAGTTCATGATGATGATGATGATGAAGACCTAAATCAAGAAAAATTAGTAAATAACACTTCATTACTTTAATAATACACTTACTCGCCCTTATCTTTCAGCCAAATTGGATTCTGTTCCTCTGGTTTTAGATCTGCAGCTACAAATCCACATGCTCTTCTTGCTTCTGCCTGATTCTTCAACCACTGCACATCATTTGAAAATTAGCAACAGGCATTTGTTTAGAGAACTTGATAACAATTTTCAAATGAACACACAGTAAGCCTATATAAGGATGTGGTAAAATATACCATTGTTTTTAAAAGAACCAAAACCAAGATCAAAATTCCAATATATGAATTTTACTTGAGTAGTGGTAATTTCTTAAAATTTCCAACTATTGATTCAATAAATAAAATCAAGTTCCTATACCATTAGGACAATATTGATCTGCAATTTATGTTAGGCTTCTAGAGTTTTCAATTATAACATTCCTCAATTGAAGATCTTGTGGCAGTAACAAGATAAAACACATAAGCCACAGCAAACATTCAGCTATTTGTAAATATTACCATTTCAATTATGGTGAAAGTGTGGCTTATCTTGAGCATACTTGTGAAGTTATTGGAGAGAAACAAGATGAGACACTTTACATAAAAATTGATATATTAACATTACAAAAAGCAGACTTTCTGTGGCTTATCATGTTACTACTGCAAGCCCAAGCCCTGCAATTGACTACATCTAACCTATTTGTAAAGGAAACTTGCAGAACAAAGTCTGACAACTTTAGTTGAGTGTATAGTTGAATGTAAAGGTACTTGTAGTACAGCAGAAGTTCTAATGGTAGCCATGCTTTATACATTCTACTAACCAGGATTTATGCACTGATTTTATTGCAATACAATGCAATAATACACACGAATGCTACATAAATCAAGATACAAAAATCAAACATCATTTTCTTGAAAATAAGTTCAAAGTAGAAGAAACGAAAAAGTAAGTATAGCCTTAAAGATACTAACCACTGATACTCAGACATTCCCATGTCTGATCTCCATTCAAATGACATTTATGCTACTTTTCTTATTTACAAAATCAATGTAGGTCTAAGTGTAAAGTTTTAAGTTAGAATTATCCGTCAAAAAGTTCATGAATCATTTTTAACAATTAACCAGGATTCCTTAGTAGCTGAGTACTCCAAATGTAATTCAATTAAAAAGTTTGTGGAAACATGGCGTGTTTCTAGAAAACATCTTCTTCATGATTTATCATTGTGAATTATGTTTTTACTTTCAGGAAAAATGATCTGGACTCTGCATGATAGGACATAGAACTCTGAACATCAGAAGAATTATTTTCAAAAATTCCAGTTCATAATTACTACCATTTAATTTTATATTTAAAAATATATATTAATTACATTCCATTGGAAATGTACGTACATCAAAATATTTTTTATAGTTTATGAATATCAATATCAATAAATATCTGCAATTAGAACTGTTAATATTCAATTAATTAATGTTTCATAAGTGTATAATAAAAACCACTTGCTCTGCCTAATAATTACAGTTTTAATAATTTCAATCCCTTATTAAGTAATCAAATTTTCAACTCGGAAAATGAAAAAGCGGAAAGAGTATTCAGCCACGTTGGGTAATCTCCGAAATATAATTTTTTAAAAAATGATCAATTAATTCTTCTCATTCATGTTTCTCACAGACCATTCTCAAGCAATAAGCTGCCTTTATCCAGTCTATCAGATTTCCCTCATCCAATGAAAAGACTTCTCAGTAAGTCCAAAAATGATAATGAGGTTTAAGCTTTTAACAATTAGCAATCTTATTCAACTGAATACTTGTATTAGCAAACTGATGTTCAGGATAATTTTAAAAGTAATGAGTTAAGTTTCTCGAGGTCCATATATCTATATTATTTTTATCTGAATAATACAGAGCACTACAGGGCTCCTCACACAGTATTTTTTTTTTTTTTAAAAAAGCTTAATTGTTATGCCTCTTCATATACATATTTCCTCAGAACCATTCTTATTATATATAATATGCTAATGGAGGTTGATATTTTATAAAGTCCCATCAACACTGAACCCTACAAATGTGTTGCTACTGTAATTAACCCCCCAAGGGCTACATCATCCAGATTTATGGCAAAAATTGTAGAATTTTTTGAAGATAATGCACTCAGAACATGCATATAATAATTAACAGTATTATAATATTTATTCATTTATGCAATCTGCAATACACTACCATTGTGCATACTGATGCAGTGTATTCTAGGCTCCTAATCTTACCTCTTCCTCTTCTGCACGATAACTTTCTCTGCTTGGTGTAGGAAACTCCCTAGGAGTAAATGATATATTTATGCGTCCCATCTCTCGAGGTAAGGGAACACATTCTGGTTCATTATTTTTTGTTAATATTTTATCAATAAAGATGTCATGTTTCTCTTTAACTTTCTTTTGCTGTGAAAACTTAATTACATGGTTTTCTTTTTTTGGCCCTGATTTCTCCTCATTTTTAATTTTCATTACTTCTTCCAAAGAATTTTCAGAGGCTGTTGAGTTCAAACTATTACATAAAGAATTCCTAAAATTCACAACATTGCATCTAAATTACTCAATCAAATACCTGCTGAACAATCATCAATTTCAACAATCTTTGGCATTGAAGTTATCTGTTCTGCCTTGCTTATTTTCCATTCTTCTATTTCCTTTGTAGCACGCTTAAGTTCATTATCTTTTATTTTTTTAATATACTCCCGCTCTTCAGAATCAAGAGCCATTTGCTCTCTCACAGCTGCTCTCTTAAATTCACTTTTCTGCACTGGGAATATGCATTGCATTCATTTCATTATTAAAAATTGGCAATGTCACAATGTGCTTGAAAATAATTACAACCACTTACCTTCTTTATTTTCTTTATCTTCTTTAACCTTTTCTTGGTGTTTAAAAATAATTTGCTGTCTAAGATTCTGTTTTTCAGTCTTAGTAAGATTTGCTTCCAAAGTCTCCCAAATTGCATGAGTTTGTTTATATAAATTAAAAACTGCTTCATTTTTGGTCAACACACATTTACTTTCACTATTTTTTATTTGTGCATATAAAAACACTTCAAAGAGGAAAGGGGCATAGTGCACCTATTTATCAGAAAAATTATGAATTATTTCATAAAATATAAAAAATTGTAATTCTTTGAAATTATATCTTATAAGCAATTTAGTGTAGTGTGTAATAGAGGTAGTATTACCTTAATATAATTTTCAAAAGTGAATACATCAGCTTTTGTGTAAGGAACACCCTTCAAAGGAACCTGAACAACAACAATTTCATTTGTTTGTCTCCATGTATAATCTTTCACAATAATCGGCATGTCTTTTACTTATTTGAAGATGAAAGTAAAAGCAAAAATGTTTCTCTTTTCCTTCGTACTTGTACCAGGGAGTAACAGGGGATAGCAGAAATGAGTACAAATGAGCACAACAGTTTCAAATGAAAGTAAACAATACACAAGTCAGGTAAGTACAACAAATTAAATTCACTTCTTTTAATTTTCCAGTAAAAAATATTTACACTTAATTAAAACACAGCCATTTGATTATTTAACATTGATCCTTCTTACTGTTTTCTTCTTTGCTCTTTTTATCGGTACCATTATAATATGCATGTCTAGTTGCCTAGCTGACTCGAGGAGTAAATTGTTATCAAGTTCTGACTTTCGCCAACAGATGTCTCTACAACACCTGCTGAGTAATCATCCCCCTACATGTGTACATAATTTCCATTAAAAAAAATTAACAGTTTTGGCAAATAAACAATTTTCAACAATAATAACTTAAAATAATTAATTATACATGATCTGGATCACATTATACATTACAATTTAAACCATGTTCCATAAAAATATACATTTTCCCATTTAAAATAATACACAATAAATGCATAACGGGAAGAGCTTAGACTTGAGTACATAAATATATTCTAACATTCATATAAATATGTGCCATCACAACTTATTCTCAACGGAGTGATTTTAAATGTTTTTCATTTCCAAATTTTAATCACAATATGTTGCCAGAAGTATTATTAATTTTGTTTAGAAACAAGCTCTTTCAGCAAGAGTCGTATTTCTGCTAGTTCTTGAGAGTGTCCTTGCACTAAACGTTCTAGTCTACGATTCTCTTCTCGCACAGCACCTAAAAGTCTTTCACTATTACAACATGGCACAGTAGTCACAGTGCTTGGAGCAGAAAATGTTCTCGGAATGCTATCAATAGTAAAAGAGCTGTCCACTGACCCATATCCTTGGGCTAATGCTTCAAGCTGACGACAAAGACGTGTTTGTTCTCGGAGTAGAACAGTCATCTGCAAATACATCTTAACTAAGTTAAAATGTCAAAGAACTCTCTTTGTTATTTTACATTAATATATTTCTAATCTATTAGGTTAAATATTTCCAAAATTATATATTATAAACTCTTTATGATGGTATAAAACGACAGAAATTCCTTTTTTGAAAACATATTATACATGAATCAATTGTAATAAAAATTTGAGATACACATGAAAAAGGATTTTCATTTATCAATGCATTTGGCAAATTTCCTAACTTAAAAAATACAGTTTTTAAGTTTTCTGCTATTTTCAAAGCCATGTTTCACAATGCAAAATACAGTACAAAACTATTCGTAAAGCAAACCTGAAGGAAGATTTGGACATATTAAATAAAAATTTTCTAATAAAGGTTCATGTCTCGACTCTAGGTTGAATTTAAATAATTCATAATTGAAACAACTTTTGTCATTTGCTAAAAGGTGACACTATTACAGATTATCTAAAATGAAAAAGTAAATCTCTCCTATAAATCCAATAATTTTAAAAAAATATTTGAGATTCATGTATTCTTTGTTTCTACTAACATCAAAAAATTATTTATTTATTACAAACAAGAGCTTAAATATTACTGCTAATAAAATTTACCTGGCGAGTAATAGCAGCAGCCCTGGGACCAGGTTGTTCTTCAAGCAATGATGCCACTCTACGTAACTCTGATGCAATTTGTTCACGAATATATCGCACAATTTCAAGTTCACGACGTGCTTCAACTACACATTCTAATAATTCTGAATTTGCTTGTAAAGTGGACATACTTTCCCCCAGATGACTGCTGTAAGTATTCAGAGCTGCACGTACAGCATCAGCCTGAAGAGGAGCACACTAAAAACAAGATTAATATAAGATTCAACGTATTGAATGGGTCAATTGAAACTTTTATCTACTTAAACTCACCATGATCTTTACTCATATCTCAATAAATTCTATTACCTGAGAACTTGGTTGACTAGAAAAAGATGGAGAATCAAATTCTTGTGGCAAATTCACTCCTCTAACCTGTGAACAAAATCAATAATGTAACAAATCAAACATTTAAACAACTGTATGTTGTGGTTTTTTGCTTGTAAGAATTACTTCTATGAGTTAAGGATTAATACTCACAGCTAATTCTTCCAAGAGCTCTTGCAAATCTTTGCTTGCCCTGAAAGTTGAAGCTATTCCTTCTGCAGTAGGCTGTATGGGTGTACACTGAGCTTTGAGGTCAATATGAATAACACTCTCATCACTGCATGAACTAAACATATTACTAACACTGCTGCAACTACTGGTCAGGGCAAGTGGTTCTGGGGCTGAGTGAATCCTACGTGTTCTGCGCCTGTGACTCTTTTTAACGTTCCCGCTGCCACTACTATTAGTATCATCACTGCTTTCAGAGTGTACCGAGTTACTACGAGAATGTAATAGACCACCACTTTCATCGATCACACACACTACTGGTAAGCTTAAACGTTTTGTGAAACTACCTACATCACATTTCTCTACACTATTCTCTGAATCAGGCACAATAGTTCCTGTGCTGCCTCCTCTCAAACGGGGTTCAATGTTCACATCTGTCAACACATCCAAAGTGCTATTGACATTAGCAGATCTCTCATTTTCAACTGTTTTATGCTTTTCCCAGGCTTTGCTTTCAGAATTTTCTGATCGTTCAATATCACCATCCAGGAACCCACTGCTGTCAGATCGTGCTCTTGTCAAGGTTACTATTTTAGCTTCATCCTCCCCATTACCAATCTGAAAATGAAAATTTTAAATCAATAACCAAGTTACCTCACATTCTAAAGATACAGATTTCAAGCAAATTATGACAACTGAAAATTGAAATTTAAAAAGTAATACAAATAAAATGGTCATAAAAATATCTTATATAAATATATCTTAAAAAAAACAAACCAAGAGGAATACTCACTTCTTCCATCTCAAATGAATCACCTCTTAAATCTCTTGAAACTTGAAGATGAGGAGATGCTATCACCAATTCATTGCCTTCAGCAACTTCTAATCCAGTATCACCTGAGCAGGAATGAACATCTACATCAGACAATGGTAAATGACCCATGCCATTTTCATGAATTTCAGCACTGTTTACATTATCTTTCTTGAAGAGGCACTCATCAATGATTTCTAACTGTGGTAGAATTATTCCCTCGAAATCTGAGAGACCATCCTCACTCTCAGTGCAGTTCTGCTCGGAATTTAACAATTCAGGATCATTATCGAACTTTCTATAGGGATCAGTTGATTCACAACCATTATCACATAGAATACTTAATTTTTCTAAACACATATCTTCAGACTTTGGATTACCATCATTATTACACTCTGAACCACATTCATTTTTTTGACAACCTGTAGAAGAATCTGATATGAGTTCTAATGCATCTTCTTCAGCTACATTCTGTTGCCTTTTCAGACTACCTCTTCTTCCTTGAGCACTAGTTACCTCGTCACTAATAGGAACTTTTGATGTAGGGCAGCTTGGTTGGGAAAGTGTAAATACACAATCATCAGATTCCTGTTTATTTTCTTGAGTTTCTTCATTTGAGCATTCTGTTTGTACATTAAACACTAAACCATCATTACTTTTTGAGTCTTCAGAGGTATTTGGCAGAGGAAAACTTGACTCCTTGCTTACATCACTTTCTGTTTTCATTTCTACATCTTCTTCAATGGATTCATACCTTATAGGTAGGCTACCAAGCAAGGAATGACTACTTTTATGTCTGTGTTCTTCTGGATCACCTACTGAGAATTTAGCTCTCCCATGTGAGTTCTCCACAAGGAGAGGAGAACTATTAGCATCAGATTCCCAACTGCTTAGACTTGTGGAAGACATTCGTTTGCCTATTCCAAGGGGCCTGTGAGTTGGTGTTCCAACTAGTTTTTCAGTTTCGAATTCTGGAAAACTAGATATTTTTGCAGAAGAAGACAGATTTTCTGAGTAAGGTGTGGATGAATGTATCTGCCCTGAATCAAGAACAGGCAGAGGTGATTGTGGTAGGGGTATACGCAGTCTTCGATGTAGTTCATAACTTCCACTTCGTTCATCAGTATCACTATCACTATCAACACTGGTGAGACTCAAGTCAGTAGCAGAAGAAAGTACAGAATCTTTATGTACAAGAGGTTTTAATGGAGGCAAAGGAACTGGGCCTAGGCTAGAATCTTCTCGGCTGGATGCAGAAGGGGATTCCAGTTCAATGAGATCTCCATCTCGCCCGAATGTGAAAGAACGCTGGCCAATTATCATTCTCTTTCTAGGAACTTCTGGTGATTTACTTCCCTAAAAAAAAATCAAATAAAAAAATAACCTTATTTAAAATTTAACTCTAGTAAACACATGCTATTCAAAATACTTTAACATATCCCTTACCTGACTTTCAAGAAACCGACGATTGTCAGCATTAAGCACACTGAGTGATGTATTCTGACGTGATGAGGGTGAGGGAGAGGAACTACTTGGTGCACTTCCACGTTTCAGCATGTGTCTGTGGTGATGATGGTGATGAAGTGAACTGTGATGAGAAAAGCGACGACCGACTTCAGGAGGTGGAGTTGTAACCAAACTGGCATATTCTGATGTTCCTGTACTGTGAACACTATCACGTTCATGTTCTCGAAGCTTTTCCATTATTTTAGCAACAATAACAGAAGGCATTGCACCAGAAGCTCCTGGAATATAAAAGTATTTATATTATGAATGAATTAAATTTTTAACATAAATTATATACTTAATAATTTAAATAAATCATGCAAATAAGGCCAAGGGCAGCTAAAACTTCTAAAGAAATTTCTTGTATGGAAATAAATTTTGTAAAACAATTCAAAACAAAACCTAAAAAAACAAATATAGGTATTAAATCATTAACATTAATTAACCAACAGTTAAGTACATAAACAACCAATGAAAATTAATACCATGAGAGAGAGGTTGAAATAAATAATGGGTAATAAAGGAATTTCGTCAAAAATAAACTGGAATATATTGGAAATACTAATAAATTCTTTAAATAATAAACAACACTAAAAACATCTTGGTGCACTGAAATGTTACTAGTTCTAGACATTTAGTGATATGTCAAAGGACAGCCATTTAAAGAACAGAAGGAAAAAGATGACAAAGAACAGCCATTTAAAGGATGCAAGACAGAAAAAAAAGGAGCAAAACATTGCTAGCAAAAACAATAAACAAAATGAACTTATAAGAGACAAAAGCAAGAGTAAAAACTGAAAATTCACAAGAAATTTTAAAAAAATGATCAATCAAATCAAATCAAATCAAATCAAATCAAATCAAATAAATTCATTCAATTTCGAGGCAAACTAGCGCATACTTTAACTATTACAGACAAAGAAAAATAAAAAAATTGCTGTAGCATATTTTAGGGTCATTCAACAATTCTACCAAGGAGACTTAAAAGAAACTAAATGAATGTGTTTTTTGTAAATTTATGTTAATATGTGCATTAAAATCAAAGCATCTAAATATTGGCACACAAAATTTTAAAAAAACTTACGTAATGCCAGTAATGCAAGCTAAACTATTTTCCATCACTGAACAATAATAAAGAAACAATATGACATTATTTAACAACAATATATTTATACAACAATTCAAAGCAAATTTTATTTACATTTTTTTCACAAAAACAATTTTCTAATCCTGTTGAGGGGGGCACATGATGACAAAGTGCCTTGAAAATATAGCTTACAACTATCACAACTTCTTCCCCTGTGCACTCAAATGAGCAAGTTGCAAAGGTTAAAATTCTTAACGTTTTGCAAGTTATTTCTTGCTTAAAGACTTCAGTTCTTTGCATGAAGTCTACATTAATTATAAAATGAACCAAATGCTTTCTCTTTTTTCCCCTTCACTTTAAAAAAAATTTTTTTACAAAAATTGTGTATACAATAAAGCTTTGAAATTTTCCTAATTCTGAATTCACATGCAGCATTCTGGAACTTGCAACTACATCACAATAAAATGTTTCATATAAAGAATTATAATAATACAATAAAATACAAAATATATTTGGAGGAAGAAAGAAGAAGAAACACAAGTAACTATGAATTAATAAATGGAATAAGTGCAAAATCATTTCTCTTCCACATTGTCTTGGAAGAGAAGTCACATTTCTACCCTTTGGATTGTTCCTACCCATCTCTCATTATATATTATAATTCCATAATACAAAGAGAAGTGATGAGTAAAGTTAATATACTCTCAAAAACCTGAATGTCTTTTTGGTAGGAGCAATTTTGACAATGATGTACAATAGTACATCCAAAGGAGTAATAAATGTGGAATGCATTCTTATGCTACATTACAACACAGGTTGTGCCAGACATGTGCTACAAACATTTGGAAACAGCTCTCAAAAAGATTGATTAATCCAAAATCTGTTGAATTACAGCAATAATAATAACACCAGCTGCAACATGAAATAAGGTAAAGATACAGAAAAATGTGACATTTTTATAAGCTTTAATAATGGAATTAATAGTTAAGAAAAACACTTAAATGTTTCCAAAAGCTTTGAGAAGATATATAGATTCATAACAGGCAAGTATTTGATTAACAAATTTTTATAATCTACATATGAATAATATTCTTAGACTTCCAGAAGCTTCAGAGTCAAGTTAATACATGTAATGAACCTGCAGACAAAGATGATAAAATATGTTTAAGACAGTAAGTTTCAAAGACTTTTTGAATCATGAATGAGCTTTCTGTACACATGAACTCAAGAACTACACATATTTTCAACTCTTGAAGAAAACTGCATAGATAAATATGAACTATTAATTACAATGTAATGATAGCAATTAATTATCGAAATATAATACATGTCATGATTATACAGATGTGCATTACATGAAGTAGTAAAAATTTTATGAAAGTTATGAACAAGCTATAGAGAAAAGTTGAAAATGACAATTCGAAACTAAAACAAATTTTCAGCAGAAAAATAAAGAAATAATAAAAATAATGTTATTAGCAGAAACCGGATCCCAAGAGCATTTCATGTTCACGAAGAATGTGCATGAAACACCCAAAAAAAGACAGACAACTGTTACTCTTCTAACAATTATCAATGGGTATTTTAAAAAGAGAGATTATTCATTTGATTTAATAAGATGAAATACATGAAAAAAGAAAAAAATCACAAAAACACCAGAAAAAAATGATAAATTTGCAATATATCCTTTTAAGAAGAAATTTTAGGTTATCACATTTGAATAGTAAATTGAATGTGGAATTGACATCACATGAGGCTTGAAAAATGGATAACATATACAATCTGGGAAATCTGTAATTAGGGATGGTCCCTTAATTCTGACAAATCTGACTTCATTGACATATTTGCATAATCAAAAGTTCCAAATTGTAATGAACAGGCACGTCACAAAACTCTCACATCACTAATATCAATATGTAAAGACAAGATATCTGAAATAATATGGGAGACCAACTATAAAATGAACTAAATCATTCTGTTGTGTTATATCTTAATACCTATCAGAAGATAATACTGGAGATTTGTTAAACTATGCCATTTAGTTTACTAATGTAAGTACTGAGCACCAATTTGAATTTTAAAGTATTTCCAATAAATAGTAAACAAGTTGTTAATAAAATTTTAAATAACAAATAACAGGAGATTCATTATCTCTAGTTCATAGAAATATACACACATACAATTTTTCAAAAGAAACTGCAAGATTAAAAGATATGCGGAAACAAAATTTGACAAAATTACAAAAATGTTTGGAGGTACTTTTTAAATTGTGGACCTGACTCATCTGTCTCCAACGTTTACAAGTTAATTGAGTATTTTCCAGGTATTGACTCAGTGTACAATGTCTATTTTCTTCTCTATTATCACAATGAATGTTTTTCAGTTTGTCCATCATTATTATAGTTTTTCCTAATTCCAATATTAGCTGTTATATTGCTGGTAGAAACAAGTAATCAAATTTCCTTTTTTCCTCGAACAATATAATGTAATAAAGGATAATAGCCTTTTTCAAAACAAAACATGGAGTTTTTTTAAAATATAAATACACATTATTTCATTATTGTCATGTATTGGAACAATCTACTTTAAACAAAGTAGCTTATAAATAATTTAATTTCATCAAGTAATATAATTTTCTAAGAATTTTCAAAATAAATTATAATGTGAGAAAAGATTTTGTAAAATGTATCCCTCTTTCATAAATGAGCAACAATATATACAAATTCCTCTCATATCTGCACACATTTTGATATTTCATTTTCTTTTAAAGTTATATTTTAGCTGGTGCAGGTTCACTAGCTCGGCGGTGTGGATTCACACGAACAGATAAATGCCGTTTGGTACTCATAGTTCGTACCATAGGATTCTGAGACTGTCCTGGGACAGATAAAAGTGTTCTCTGCCCAGGAGGAGGTGGTGGAAGGAAACGCATGGGAATATTCACAAAGCTGTCATTGAAAATTGGAGACATGGCAGAAAATGTTCTTATGGGTGAAGAAGCTGAAGAAACTATGTGCGCATTGGAAGGATCATGTCCTGATCCTGAAAGACATAGGTATATGTTATCAATTCACACACATGTATACTTCAGAATTGTAAACAAGAAGAAATTTATATTTCATATTGAAAAGAATAAGAATGTACTACCGACTCACCTGAGAGCCCACGATATCCACAAAAACCAGTCTCAAAATTTTCAATGAGTTCTTGTTGATGGCGTAAGAAATCCTTAATGGCCACTCCTTTCACCTACACAAACAAATTTCAATGACTTGAAGAGAAATAATGTGGACAACATTTATATACATTTTCTATTAGCATACCATATGTCCAAATCTTTATGCAGCCTATTATATAAACATTTGAGTATACACACAGTCCCCCACACACGTCCCCCAACACAGTCGCACACACACACGTCCCACACAACAGTCGCACACACACACAGTCCCCCACACACACAGTCCCACACACACAAACAGTCCACACACACACAGCCCACACACACACAGTCCACACACAGTCACACACACACACAGTCCCACACACACAACACACAGTCACACACACCACACAGTCACACCACACACAGTCACACACACACACAGTCAACACACACACAGTCACACAAACCCAGTCACACACCACACAGTCACACACACACACAGTCACACACACACACAGTCACACACACACACAGTCACACCACACACACAGTCACACACACACACACACAGTCACACACACACACACACATCACACACCACACACAGTCACACACACACACACACACAGTCCACACACACACACACAGTCAACACACACACAGTCAACAACCACACAGTCACACACACACAGTCACACACACACAGTCACACACACACACACAAACACACACACACAAACACACACACACACATGCACCTACACATGTCCCTTTCTACATGTGTGATATTTAAGATTATCACCTGCAAGAAATTCTAATCATTGCACATTTGAAATACAAGTTTGATAGTTCAATAATAGATATGCAACTAAGTGAATGGAACAACCTATAAATTATAAATTGCTCTGACTGCTTCATAATACATGCAATTTAAAAATTCTGAATTTATTTGTCTACATCTACTTATTTCAATACTATAATTTTCATTCATATACTCACTGAAAGGATAAATACCTTTGATGGCTGAAGAAATCTTTTTGGAATGCGAGTAACTTCACTGTCCAATGAAGACACAGGTCCCCCAAACCCTAAACTTAACAACACCTCTTCAGGGTCAGGTTTGCGAGACTCCAAGTACGATTCAACACTGGACCCATGACTACCATGGGAAGTAACATCTGATTGGACCGAAGGTTCTCGAGCCAAACCATCACGGCGTATAAATTTGTTTTCAGCTGGTGGTACAGTGCGTAACTGTTGAGGACTGCAAGAAAGAAAGAAGAAGAAAAAATTGCAGAAAATGTGTACTGCAAGACAAAGCAATGCACAGTTAAAAGAATTCACTATTAATGTAGTATAAGTAGGTGAAACAAAAAAATATAGATTCAATTATTATTTTTGTACATACCTGATTACTGTAACTACTGGAGTGCCATTATACAAAAGTCCAGCTGAAATAAAATAAACATAATATAATTAATAATTATGTTTTACCGAAGATGGCACTTTTTTGTTTATGCTTTTTAGTATCTGATGCATACATTTTTCCCTTAAGAAAGTAATTGTTGATATACAATATATATGTATATTGTATCAGGTTTTTCCAAATCATTGATAATATTGTGTTGCAATGACCACCAGCTCCATCATTAATTTTTTTTTCAGTTTTTGATAATAAATGGAGGGCTTGCATTCTCTCAAGGCATGTGTATTCAAATAACGTTCTCTCCCCTCACATGAGCATATGCTCACCAGGCATTCCTAAACCCTTCGAATCTTAAAAAGTAACAACTGGCTCACTTTTCTCAGGTAATCTAAATTAACCTTTTAATAAATTCAAATAATCCAATAGGTCTTTTTCAATCCTGCATTTTAATCACCTTGAAATATGAAATGCATCAAATGTAAATACTTCATTTAAGATCGCCATGTACATTCCAACAAAAGAAGTTAGGTACCAAGATAGTATATTAAAGTCCTAACTTTATTTTAGAAGAAGAAAAAAGGCTAAAAAATTTCCATTTTAAGGGCAGATGAGATTGTTTCCACATACACCCCGACTTCATGCTCGAGTAGGGGTAGGGTCACTTTATCAGTTTTCACGATTTCATTGGAATCTGTCCGGGAAGCAGGAAAAACGATCGACGTGCATGCGGGTACAAAGGGGACATAATCCACTTGCAAACATTCCGACCATTTTAACAAAGGTTTTCGTTAAACTCACGAAGTTTCCGAGCAGCTGCTTGACGGGAAAACACATTTTGATAGCCAATCCAGTCATAGCAAGATTGCTTAGTTGGCTCGTTCGATTTTCTTTTCACTGACCTTGCTTGTGTGCAACACACTGAAATAGATAAAATGTCATTTTATACTGTTCGCGTAAAATACTTTAAGAATATGTGAATTCGTTTCGAAAGCGATACATCGCAAGAAATAATAATAATAAAAATCCAATAATGAAATTGGGTAAATTTAGAAATTATATACAAATATATACGTTCCCATACATTAAGCCTCTCTGTATGGTGTACATTTTCAGTCTCCTTCTAGAAATTTATCTTCCACATCCAGTTATTCTTTTATTTTGAAGCAAGTGGTCAGTGTTTCCTTTTAGCTTTAACATCAATAATTTTTGTGATTGAATGGCATCACCGTCTTCATTGATGTTCGCATGCTTTTATAGAATAAGAAGGCGTGACCTCTGAAGGACTCACTGGGTGGAGATATGGAATGTGATTCGCAATGAGGAATGTTCACTGTCCCCTGAGTCTCCGCACTTCAGGAATGAAGGCAGCAAAGAAGTGCCGACCTAGATAGTGCAAGAATTGGAATAGAGCTCCGAGAAAAAATCTCGTGTAGAGTAGGAATGCTTTTTTTTAAATTGTGGTGTAATTTATCATGCACCTCAGAAAACTATTTTTCTTTTTCGCAAACGTAGTATAGAATATTATTTTTGCAACATAATGTCCGTTCGTCTGAATCCGTCCGTCCGTCCGTGTCCTGAGACCGTCCGCAACGCATTTTAAAAAATACGATTTTAAAAGCTGAATACGCAACAAAGCACATTTGTGAGAATAGGAGTAAATTCATTTCTTGCCTCTCGCATGATACATAAGTGCTAAAATATTTCGTGATTAAATAAGTACATAACCCTAGGATAGTGACTGTGTAGTTCCAGTTAAGCGTAAGACCCCCCTCTCACGCTTGAGCGATAGGAAAAATAAGACAAAATAAACGAGAAATATTCTGATTTTTCTCCAGTAGCCGAAGGAGAACCGCAATATCTGCAACATTCGTTCTAAGTTAGCGAGGTTTATCGCTGAGGCAGGGATTAAGAGCAAAATTTGGCCAGATGGTACTGAGCGTCACCTCTCTCGCTTTCCGCTATATATTTTACGCTGCAGTGTGTCTGAAAATGCAACACTCGGCAGGTTCGGAACCTCGCTGCTGGCAGGCAAGTGGCAGGTAAATGAAGTTGTGCCTGTGAAAATGCAACCCTGCAAGTACCACAATATTTTAAAAAGTAACTGCATATCCAAACAATTTGTGCCAGTTGCTACTCTACTAAACAATTTTGTTAAAGATGAACGTACTCTCGATTACTAGCAACAGTGTGCAAAAGACAATCTTAAGTTCGAACAGTGAAAGTAACGAACGAACGATTCGTTCATCAACACTTCATTTAATTTATGCACCTCAGTGACGAACGGCAGAATATGATGCCATATGGAGTAACAATGTTTGAAAGGTTCTTCGGCTTTAAACACCTTAGCTCCATTTCATATAGATACTCTTTTACTTTTTCTTAAAATTATCAAACTATACAGAAAAAGCACTTAGAACACAATATTTATATAATATTGAATTTCATTGATATGATTTTCGTCAACCAATAGTACTACGTTATCAGTATGTACTTTCTTGCATTAGTAACTTATGTAATATTATAGTACTACAAATTCTATTTATACATCTCAGCCATCACTTGTAAAACTCCTTACCAATCGTAGCGTATGACGAGCCACCAGTTTTTCTACGCTAATACATCAATACAAATTCGGCAATCCAAAACTGCTTTCCCGTACACTGAAAATAACATTGTCACCTAACAATCAAATTTATAGAAATGATTTCTTAAACCACTGTATCGCGGATATACCATTCTCGTAATGCGGTCTAATAAGAACGCAGTAGCGGTTACAAGTCCAAGAAAACTATTAATAGTCCTATTTTCCAAAAAAGTTACAACACGTACTTTGTGCAATCACGTACACATGTGTAATATTTGTATTGTAATACTGCAAATCCAATTCAACTAACTCTCCAACTATCTCGTGAAAGACACTTCAGCAAAGATATGTGGAAATCTCGTAAGTGCAATTTTCGAAAGTACACAGGTTTTAATGAAAATTGTAGTTTGCTTCACTCGAAGAAAGCATACTAAAAAAGAAATATCCCTTATATCGCCGGCTATCAAACATTGACATTTCAGAAAGATTCTCAAAAAATAATGAAAATCTTCGAAAATCTTCGAAATAATTTAACAAACTACAAACTTCTACGTAATATTGCGAAATAGTTTGTATTGACTTTAGCTTCAGTACGGAAGGATTAAGACTGGTTCGAAAAAAAAAAATTATTTCTCATTCTTAAACAAAACTTAAGGGAAAACGACTAATTTTAAAATACCATATTTAAACATCTAATTTTGAAGAACACATTTGATTGAATGAAAAATCTCTATCAACAATATTCTGGTTTCATTTCTTGCAATCATCGAAAACGGAAAGTTTACCGAAAATAGGACTTACGCTATATTTATTACCGTACTTTGCCCTATTCGAAAAAAAAATTAAAAACTGAAGCAGTTTTTGGGAGTTCTAAAATTGCCTATATTCCATGCAAAATTAAAAAACGAAAAATCCTGATATGTTCAAATAATTGTACACTGACAAATTTCATGCGGTCTTTGAAGAAAATATTCCAATATTGAAAATACTCTTCAATACAAAGTATTTGAACAACTCACGGTGTGTGTGTGCGCGCGCGCGCGTGTGTGTGTGTGTGTGTGGGTGTGTGGGTGTGTGGGGGTGGGGGTGGGAGGTGGAGTGGGGGGGGGGTTGGGGTGGGTCGGCACGGATCGTCACTCACGGTTAAAGCGACCACCAATCGAGTCATGTGAGGAGTCACATGAAGTGTCATTCGATGCGTCTTAATCCCCTGGCGGGAACTGATAATTTCTTTTTGGATCTGGTAATTAGATTCAAAGAAATTTCCGAAAACGTGTTTTGGCACTGAGATCTTAGTATGCTGGAAATAAAATTAATGCCAATCAAATAGATCTATGCAGGTGCGTTGATTAAAGAGGCATAATCGCTTCAGGACGCCATCATTTTCTTTCACGAGGATGGCAACACTAATTATTACCATCTTTAAATGGACAAGTGAATTACCACGAGAATCGCGCGGCAAATTACATTTCAATTTTCACCCATATTACTGTACTTAAAATTAGTGGTGCTACACACTGGCACCAACTTTCCCGTATTAGGTTTTTTTTTTTTTTTTGGTGAATGTTAACTATTCGAACTCGTCACTCTGCCTGCTGCCATCTATCACCGCCCAGAGTACATTTTTAACATTTTTCTAATTTTTCAGTTTCCTAATTGTAGAGCGGAAATATTATCTTAAGATTATTAAAGAACAGTAAACTTCGTTCTAAATGGCAATTTTCTTCGAAATCTTTGAAGCTTTAAATAAAAATGTACATGATCTTAATGAAAGAGCTCACTATGGAGAACAAATTTTATCTGAAGGAAAAAATCTCTAAATTCAATTTTGTAGTTGTAGTAAGACACCCGAAATATTTTGAAGTTATAAAATTTTCTAAAATTCAAAGTTAAACCTGAATATCGAAACTATGCCACCTTTATACATGTATTTTACTATATTCTTACAAGAAATTTAAAGAAAAAATTTGGAACCGTTTTTGAGAAAATTTTGAAAATGTTCGGCGGGCATCATGTAATGTACCCCCCAAAAACTTTTAAATGATTTTCAAATTCGCAGAGCTTCGACTCCGGTCATATGGAAAGTGGTTTCTTCAATTTGGAAAAAATCCTACGCATGGTTTAAGCGTTAGCGTTGTTCACGGACAGACGGGCGGACAGACGGACGGACAGACGGACGGACGGACAGACGGACGGACGGACGGACGGACGGACGGACGGACGGACGGACGGACGGACGGACAGACGGACAGATAAGACTTATCTCTGATGGATCGTTATGATCTATTCAGAAGAAAACACATCGCCGATGTATCATTAGAAATCGTTTTCTACTGACTTCTAGGTTTTGGGAACGTTAATGCTGGCATTAATCTTGTACAACAATAATTAGAACATTCGGTCTTAAAGTCGAAAGGAAACCAATGCGACATACTTTTCAAATCATGTAACGTATTTAAATAAAACCAAAAATTGATTGATTTAAGTCATTTTAATCATTCTTATGTTAGTATCTTCTACTGAAATTGAATTCGCAAGTCAATAGAGTGTCTTTAGCCAACTGCAATTATAAACGTGATGGCATGAAAAACAAATGAAGGTACTGCTACTTGCTGAAGGGAGTAGGTTTACCTTCAGCGCCCAGCCCCAAATCCAAAGCCTCCTCGCCATCTTCCAGTACTTGCTCCTCGGTCTCCTCTTCGCTCCTGCGAAAGAAAATAATTAATGAAACTTCATAATCTTTTGAAATCAAGTGAATGCTAAAACTACATTCAGGAAAGTTAGAAACATCAATACGATAAAATAAAGAATACGTCCCAACTTATAGTTATGAATATATTTATATATAAATACAAAAATTTAAACATGTTTATTCTTCTTTCTCGACTGTTTCATCATCAAGAGGATGATGGTTACGACGGAAATAAAACTTTAAAGACACTACATAATCTCTTAAGGGAGTTATTTGAAGAATAATGGGAGAGAAATATGAAAATATATACAGATAACCCAGATACATTAATTAGGTAAAAAAATAAATTATTGTGCTAACACTGGCGTTAACAGGTTCTAACAATCTCAGGAGATCAAAGCCCCGGGCCAAAGAGCCTCGAGCTTTTTGTCCCTTCTCCATCATTATAATTTTTATAAGGTCCATGTTGGATAAATATTATTATTTGATTTTAGTATTTCAAAAACAGGTCTTGAGATAATATACGTTATTGTGGGTTAGAAATTGCTATTTGAAACACAAAATAGCCTTAATCTAAATCATAAATTTGCGTGTTGTTTTTATAAATACTAAGTGAGTTCTTAAATCGTTTTGAGATAGAACCCTCACTTCCTAAGAGCTAGTGATATAACATGTACACGATGTGTATAATTTAATATTCACTCGTTAAAGTAAAAAATAAATAATAGAAAAAGCATTGAAAGCTTAAACATACTAATGTTTTAAGCTAAGTTAATTGAGCTCTTTGGAAATAATTTCGCTCGCACCCACCGAGTTTTCGAAGTTCAAATAAAGGGGAAATTATTTCAATTTGCAGAGTGACAGCTTAGGGAACCCGGGAGCAGTCGATTGAGATATTTGGATTGAATGTCGAAATTCAGTGCATTTAATACAACACTATTGTTAACGCATGCATTTACTTTCACTAGTCAGATTTGTTCATCAATGCTAAGTCAGTATTTTCAAAATGGTTTGTACTGGAATAACATCATTTCCGTACGCAAAATGTCATCGAACGACAAAATTGATATTGTGATTTCGTATTTTCTCAATTATGTCGAGAGAATTTTCTTCTGCTTCACGACCTGAAGTAAGACAATTATAGGAACACGCCCTACAGTGCATTAACAAAGTAGAGATTTTAAGTTGTACCCTACCTTGAGGGACCATGATGGGCAGTTTTCTGTGCTGGTCTCAAGAAGTTTATGAAATTATACGGCTTTGCAGAATGGGACGAAAAGGAGAGGATGAAGCCATATAAGATATTTCTAAAAATCATTCCTTACAACAGATTTTTGAGAGTAAATTTAGTGCAACACTTATTTCCGTAGGGATGAGACATGATTAAAATGTTTCACACACAATTCAGTTTTCATTCAAGACATCGACTCTTGATATTGTGTCCAATTGTGTTTTTTTTGTTGGGGGGGGGGTAGCATTCAGATAAATCTTTTGGGGTGTGAAAATATTCACATTCACTACTTGATGGATAAATATACTGCCCCATAAACACACTGTTTATATGGCTACTGATTCTCAAATAAAATGTAATCAAATAGAGTAAACTCGACACGAATGGTTCACACAGAATCGTTAACAGATCACTGTGTTTCCTGAACGTCTCTGATTCTTTTACTTCCAAATTAAAACTTTCACACATGCACAGTCTAGGATCCTGGAGATCAAGCACACGACAACTACACATGAAGAAGCGCGGATGAAATCCATGCTTGGCGAACCCACACGCGGTCACACACGGGAAAATGTAAATACGATTCGAATAGAAGAGTTTCTTCACGAAACACGCATTCACGCGAAGATCTATCGAGGCTGGAGGCAATGCGTCGTTGCTGCTGGTCCAACTGGAAGCAGAACGAGCTGGTCCTGCGCTCAAACGCCTCACACGCCGAGCCGGGGGGCGGCCGCGAAGGAGTGACCTCGGAGGAAGCAGCGGGCGCCCGGACCGCCTGCGCCGGGCTCGATCTGACGACTGCGGCGGCCTGGACGCGGGGACCCAAGGGGGCCAATCGGAACGTGATGTAACGTCAAAGGCTTCAAGGCCTGCGGCGCGGCGGCGCGGCGCGGGGCAGCGCAAGCTGTGCGGTCAATCCAATAACGGCGCCGCTGGCGGCCGCCCGCCGTCGCCAACCTCTGGGCCGGGGACTCGCCCGCGGGCGGGCAACGCCCCCTTGCGACACGCAGCACCCGCCCCGCCAAAAGGCGCGCACCGAAAAGAAAAATAAAACCAAAATCACTCTCGACATGCGCACTTTTTGGGCGAAGAAGAAACCGTGAACGCTTTGAAGGCTTGGCGCCCATCAGACTTCCCGCCAAGAGCATTTTCGCTACCCGCAACCACCCAGTGACGTCTGCCCACTAATAAACAACGTACTATTTAAAGTTTACTAGTACAATAGCTAATTTATAACTAAGTACACTGCTGGACATCAATATAGTTTGTTTATTGGTGTGTTTTCAATATTATATATAATTATATTGCACGTGTTCCAGTAATAATTGTAAAATTATTGTATTTTTGTGAACTATATTTTTCACGAAATATATTGCGGAAGCGCAACGTCGACATGTCGAATATTCATAAGCTAGGCGTTTAAATCTCTTAATTCAAAAAGTATTTAACTCTTTTGTCATACACAAACTTTTCTTTTGGAAATGCTACCCCGCGGATGATCAAACGTTACCGAAATTGTCCAAAAATTGCTAGTTAGGTACCACTTCTTATTTGTAATGTCAATCGTACGAAACTTTTCCCAACGTGTTCACGCATTTCAAGGGATACGCAATACAATGGAAACGCATCTTGGATATGTTCCTTGTATTTGATCAGTTATGCAACACATTTCGTACTTTCCAGCTGAGATTCAAAGTCGTTTTCAGCTCCCGTTTGCAACATCGTTTCAAGCTACAACCTTCACCGCCTCGAAGCCCTATTGTCAGGAGCCGAGTGGTTGCTGCCAGCTTCAAAATAGCCAAGCATCGTTTTCGAAGAGAGACATCTTTTTTTCGTAATTTGTATCCAAGGTACACATATTTCTTTGTTCGGAACGATGGTGTGCCTTCTAAGCAGAGCCAAAAGTGAAAACCCATTTCGAAACTGTTCACCCCACACGGAGGTAGAGCCTCTTCAAATTCATGGTATCGAGAATTATTCAGGGACTATGCAAACGCGAAAATATGAAATCCAATTCAATGTGCGATCTTCTCTCTCTCTCCCACTACAATATTCTAACATCTTCATTCTACACCCTAATTATAGCGTATTCGATACGTCAATAAAATGTGGATTTGGGCAAAACAAACAAACGAGTACACAATTTTCACTGAATGTCCATTTGCGGTTTATTCCATTAAGACGTAGTTCGACGCCCCGGCTTCTCGCCACGATGGCACTGCCCCTGATCAGTTATGCAACACATTTCGTAATTTCCAGCTGAGATTCAAAGCGTTGTAGGGCCGCAATGTCACAAGACGCGCGCGCGCGCGCGCGCGCGATTTTAATTCAATAATAAGCTTTCTGTGGACTGATAATAAAGAGCATCAAATTTTCTTTTTATTTTCCTCTCAGCTCCTTTACATTTTTAAGAAACCCACTTTATAGCTTTAAAATGTCCATCAATATTTCTAACGTAAAACACAAAGCTTTTTTTAAATCAACGAATGTGCATTGTAGCACTTTGGCTTCAGAAGAAATTAATTTAAAATTTAGATTTTTCAATCTATTTAGTTACAGAAATGTACTGGGTACTAACATTTTATAATAAATGCTTATTTTAATTTTACTTTTGAATGTTGCTAGGGAAGAGACTTCAAGTGATAAACAATTATACTTACGCAATAAAAATTCAATACTAAGAAACCAACGAAATAGTCCCAAAACAGAATTATCAAAATTGTATATAATATAATGCGCAAAAGAAATATGACCTTTTCTTATATTCACAAGAAGCTTTGAGTACAAAACTCCATAAATTTTCAAAATCTTGTTAGGGCTTTACCATCCCTCCCCAAGGTGCATCAAACAATGTAGAGTGAAAAACGTGGAATGTTTTAGATTATGCTAGAAGACGTCAGCAGATGCACAGATCCCTTAAATCCAAACTACGCCTCTCTAGAGGAACTCTAAAGTTATGCTTCCTACATATTTGTTTATTTAAATCTAGGGTTTCTTCAAGTACTAAGATTTTTGAGGCCCATGAATGATGAATGATAGAGTAAAGATGATAGCGTTAATGATGAAATGAATTAAGAGAGAGAAATTGCAGAACAAGAGGCAGGAGAAATGGGAAAACCTCGAGTCAGCTCGCCGAGAGCTTGCTTTGACCATCACAATCCACATGGATTGGCCGTGGATGGAAACCGAGAAATGTTTTCAAAACTGTAATATTCAAACTGAGAAATTTCTGAACCTTCAATTCATTTTTCGAGTTACGTTTTCTGGGTACCCTACTTCGTAGCGCATGGAGTCAGAAACGACCAGAATATCGAAAGCTTTAAATACTTAATCTGACTCATGGATATTTTATGCAATTTAGTCACACGCGTATAATTTATTTTGTTTGTTAATGCTTAGCAATTTTCAGATTTTTACCTACATATAGTATGAAGCCAATAAGATGTAACGCACCTTTTAGCGCCTGGCTGTTCGAAGTTAGGAACCAGAATGAATCCTGGGTTCTGGGTCCAACTACTTTTTATCAAGTACATCTACGCCTACGTATAAAACACTTCAATTTGTATTGTCCGTGAAAGTGAGGCTCCTAGGTTAAAAGACGAAATGTTCTGGGGAAGGCTCTATTCCTCTACTCTCCCAATCTGTTTCGCCAATGTCGCCGTGGCGTGCGAAATGAGAAGTGCATTGCATCACAGGGTTTCAAGAATCCTATTAGGAAGGTTTATCGAGGTAGTAATCCTATTACATCGCTAGGAGAAACGCTACGTAGAATGTGTCAGTGGGGAAATTCTCTAAGCGCGTTGTCATTCCGAAAGGATCAACGGCAATTGCTCCGCCTGATGCGCTTTCGCGCAAGGCGCTGCCCGCGGAACAGCCCTTGCGCGACCCGTTCGACGAGTTTTCCGGATATTATAATAAATGGAGTGCGGAATAATTGGTTCGGACTTATAAGCATTTTATGAGCTGTATTTATGACCAAAAGGCATGTCGGTGATCGTACATCACGAGCCGAAATAGCAAGAGAGACCTTGCTCCTTATACAGTAATTTACAACATTTCGGTTACTGACTCGAGCAACAGGATACAGTATATTAGCGAACTCTGTTAGAATTCCGTTTTTCTTGAAGCAAAAGCAATGCAAAGCAAATTCTTAATGCAAATACGGACGAAAATCAATTCCTGCGTAATGAGCCTATGGGAAATAAACGGAAGAGAACTTTTTTTTTATCTCAAAATGAATTCTTGATACAAGTAAAAAATAAACTAAAGCGAGATGTAGCATATACTTTAGCAATCAAAAAGAGAGATTCGTCATTCATGTAATAAATAGATTTCATTTCACAACAAATTTTAAATTTTTCTTTAACTAACCCTTCTCCCTAAGAAAGTATGTTTGCATTTTTTTTTACTCTAAAATGAAGGAAATTCACTGAAAATTAATGGCTATAATTTTTTTGTGGTCACGGCATTTATTTTATGCTCTAAGCTTTCTTCCTACTTTTACCGTAACCCTTACTACTCCGGTCGACTAGTAACTTTTCTTTAAATCAAGAAGGCTTGATAGAATCTCCCTTTACTACAACACTAGAAATGATATGGCAGAACCATCGAAGAGAAAAATACATTTTTCTAATCCTTTGGTTTGAAAATACTCTCATTTTTTAAATTGTTGGTACCTCTTTTCCATTAAGCAAAGACGTGTACTGACTTCAAATGAAATTGAATGAGTGATATACTTAATAGGCAAGTACAACCAATTTTTAAAAATCGCAAAAGACAGTTTTTGTTATTTTTAAAAGAAAATTGCACAAATGATTAAAGCTTTCGCTTTAAATCTACTGATTTGCGCGGCTTCGACTTCGTTTGTATTCCAATGGACTCGCGCGGAAGAAGTGTCTTCATGCTAACTTCCATCAGTTGCCGACTCGTGAACGGTGAACGGTAGTCATTCTCACAAATAACTCGTGGAAAAAAATCAGTATTATATAGAGTAAGCTAAATTTAAAGTAGACATTTTCTGCAATGTCCTTCTAAAACATCGTTTTGACACAGATTTCAAAATTTAGCGACGCCTGTCGGGGATTTTCTGAACGAATGGAGAGCTACACGAAGACGCCAACGCGTTCTGCGACTACGTAGAAGTAACCCGGGGCAAGTGTCGAGCGCCAGGCGCAACAGCGAAGAGCGACGTACCCCGCTGCGCAGACCTTCGAAAGGCCAGCGGTGCATTCGAAGCCCGTGCGCGAGCAGACAATTCCCGGAGCCCGGAGAAAGCGCGCGGGGCTCGCACCCACCTCCTCCTGCGGAAGCCCAACAAGTTGCCCATCTCCTGGACGGCGCGGACGGCGGCGGCCTCGCCCAGCACACACACGCTGCCTCGCGACGCGGCGCGGCGCGGCGCGGCGACACACGACACGCGGAGGGACCCCGGCCGCCGCCCCGCCCCGCAGGCGCGCGTGTGCGGAAAGCGAGCAGCGCGTCTCCGCTTACGCAGGGGGTCGCACGTCCCCTCCGACGCGGGCGGGGCCTCACCAGCGGGGTGCGAAGCCAAGCACGAGACGCAACACGGCAGGGGCCGACGGCGAAGCGGCCAAGAGCGGAGCAACTAAGAAATCTTGCCTTCCTCAAATGATTCATGAAGCTGCAGCTGCTGCTATTGACAAGATTTGAGACAGTACATCCATTCTGGCATTATTTGCCGTTTGTAAGTGGGTACGAAGGGAGGAGACCAGATTGAGCAAACAATGAAAGTGGTTTAGAGGTGTGATGAGAATGAAGACGGAGTTCAAACA